GGAAAAATAAGTCTAGAAGAGCAAAAACCCAATTTGTAGAACTCAGATCTGTGGCCTGAAGTGTTGCGCTTGTCCCTTTGTTTTGGATTGAAGTGTCCAGCGGCTGCCCTTGCGTCTGCCGTCACCCACACAGAATCTGCGCAAGCTTCTGCCTCAAACTCGCCTCAAAGCTCTCTGCCGGCTGCCTCCCTGGTTTCTCTCGGAAATCCTCTCCGCCCAAGTCTCCAGCGGCTGCCCCTTTTTATATTCAATAATGTGCCCCTGCCTTTCAAAACTCCGTGTGCCCTTTCTCTTTTAAAGCCCATCTTTATCTCCACAATAAGATAAAGCCCACAATGTCTCCACGTGTATGCAGAGGAGAAATTAAATTCTGGTCTTTAAATGGGGAAATCATGGAATCAAACCTCATGTTTTCAACTTTTGTCATTTCAGCCCATTTACTCTCAATTTCTTTAGTTTTACCCTCTACCTACAAAGAATGATAAAAGTAATGTAAAACCAAATAAAATTGTTCCAATAAAATATAAAAGACTACAATTCATGACTAAAAAGCCATGTATAATTGTATGAAATTTAGGCTCATCAAAGGCCAAGATCAGTTAATGTATGAGTTTTGGTGATTTAGATTTTAGAACGTGTTTTCTTCTCCTCTCACCCTTTCTGATTTGGATCTAAGTCCTTTGAAGGAGGTTAGGTTTAGATCTAAGAACCTGACTTCGTTCCCCTTCCCTACTCCATGCAGTGAAAGTAATGAAACTGAAAAGATGTCTTCTGAGGAAACATTGAGCGTTGAGGGAAGTGAGGAAGTAAGGGCTTTAGAGTATGGTGACATTGAGATGACCAGTGAGTCATCTAACTTAGAGAGGGCGGAGGAAGGGGTGGGAGGCAAAGTAGTCCATACCTTACCGGCATGCGTATCGGTTTTGTTACTGGAACGGTACGTACCGGATACCGGAATTTTTTGCGTATCGTTTCAGATTTATCGTTATAAAAAAATTTTATGAAAAATTTTGGGGAGAAGTTGAAGAAAAAAAACAAGAAAAGGACTCAATTGAAAAAACTAAAAAGCTGAGGATGAAATTTACTAAAACAAACTAATAAGCCCAACCCAATATTGAGCAGCCCATTAAACAAAACCCTAGTTTCCTCTCTTTTAAAGGGAGAAGGAGGAGGTGCGGCTGCCAAACCCAAAACAAAAAATGAAAAATTTGGGGGAGAAGTTGAAGAAAAAAACAAGAAAAGGACTAAATTGAAAAAATTAAAAAGTTGAGGAT